AGGGGTGTGCCCGAAGCGTGAATCCTTATAAGGGAAAACACGATTCCTAACACAGTTTATACACTGGACAGGAGCGGCGCGGCGCGACAAAATACTATAGAACCACTGATCTATAATAGACAGTAGATCAGTCTATAGAACTCATTATATATTATGATGCTGTCTACACTGGATGCGGAGCGACACGACAAATCCTCAACAGTAAACTGCTGCCGTGTTCTATTTATGACGTGCTGACACAAATTTCAAATGATTTTCAACGGTCGCTTTGTCCAGTGTAGACAGACTTTAGCTGATGTGGCGCGACACGACAACTGTCACGTCCGGTGTAGACACGGTGTAACGGTTGCCTGTTACATTACAGTACATAAAATTTAACTTACCACATAAACAGAGTAAAGAGAGATGACTGAGGACGATGGCGAATGATCTGCAGATCCTCAGTACCACTGACAAACATATAAAAAGTGTGGCAAGTACTGCCGCTCCATAATATAAACAGAGTACGTGCGATCACGAATCTCGAAATATATATGTAGTATAATTATCCAATTATTTAACTGCCAGGAAAAATATTTAAATATATATTTTCCTCCCATCTCGTATTTATTCCCTTTAGGGGTTCCGCCTACACGTCATTTTCTTTCCGAACATGGTATTGGGATGCGGGGGAGGGGTATCACGATGCCGGCTCAACTTCGTGATGTCTATCAGCCATCATCTATCGGCCCAACCCTATTGTGGTTGCTGAATAAATGCTTATGCAACCTCAATGTACCACAATACAAAGTCTTTTTGTTTATTTTAAGAGAAAGCCTGTTACATTACAGTACATAAAATTTAACTTACCACATAAACAGAGTAAAGAGAGATGACTGAGGACGATGGCGAATGATCTGCAGATCCTCAGTACCACTGACAAACATATAAAAAGTGTGGCAAGTACTGCCGCTCCATAATATAAACAGAGTACGTGCGATCACGAATCTCGAAATATATATGTAGTATAATTATCCAATTATTTAACTGCCAGGAAAAATATTTAAATATATATTTTCCTCCCATCTCGTATTTATTCCCTTTAGGGGTTCCGCCTACACGTCATTTTCTTTCCGAACATGGTATTGGGATGCGGGGGAGGGGTATCACGATGCCGGCTCAACTTCGTGATGTCTATCAGCCATCATCTATCGGCCCAACCCTATTGTGGTTGCTGAATAAATGCTTATGCAACCTCAATGTACCACAATACAAAGTCTTTTTGTTTATTTTAAGAGAAAAATGCTAACATAATTTGTTATTATTAAATTATTAATAGGAATTTTATGGTTTTATATTTTGAGAGAAATTTCCAGTTTGAGAAACAGTTTTTCCAGTTTTTATAATGTAGACATTGTGTTAATGTATATGATTAAAAAGAACACACAAAAAAAATAGATGAGGTAAAATAAACCCTGTGTACGAACTGACATTCTCGTAATTTGTGCTTACGTAAAAGTGCAATAATTGTGAAGAAACGTAATAAGAAATTTCTCAAATCAGAATAATCGTAATTAATAATTGCAATTATACTTTTTGACCGTAATAAAAAAATTATCATGATCATCAGTTTAACCAGCCTTAGTAAAAACCCAGAACAAAACACTTACATCATTTATATCAATGTTCTTATCCACATCCACCACAAACTTTCCTTCAGGATGCACCTAAAAACATAGCATAAATATAAATGATTAACAAAACTGCATTGCAACACGTCAACACAAATCATGCTCATGTAATTAAGCAGTAAATAATGTCTGTCAAACCTTGACCAGCACTTTCTTCTTGTCCATGGCTCTCACCACCTCTCCTACATAAGACCCCTGCTCCTGCAGCAACTGAAGCTCCTCACGCAGGAGGCGCACTGAAAGAAACAGCACAAAGCACATCCTGTCATGTCATACTGATGACATTCTTAAAGGAACACTCCACTATTTTTGAAAATAGGCTCATTTTCCAACTCCCCTAGAGTTAAACAGTTGAGTTTTACCATTTTCAAGTCCATTCAGCAGATCTCCGGGTCTGGCGGTAGCACTTTTAGCTGTAGCTTAGCATAGATCATTGAATCTGATTAGACCGTTAGCATCTCGCTCAAAAATGACCAAAGAGTTTCTATATTTTTCCGATTTAAAACTTGACTCTTCTGTAGTTACATCTTGTACTAAGACCGACGGAAAATGAAAAGTAGAAATAGAAAAATAGAAACTCTTTGGTCATTTTTGAGTGAGATGCTAACGGTCTAATCAGATTCAATGATCTATGCTAA